TCCCGCTCGTCGCCTTCGTCAATGTCCCCTGTCATTCGTTTGTTCGGAACGTTTCTGCGGCGAAGTTTACGGACATAAATCGGGGAAGCTCTTCCGCAAACTATGGCGGAACCCTGAAACCGTTATATCTGGTTATCAACAATCAGAGCAAGGTGTGTGTATTTCCTTTCCCTTTCTTTCTCTTTTCTTTTTTTTTTTTTGGGGCGGGCACGGTATCCGTCATCATCACGTTTGACTCATTTCCTCTTTGAGTTTTGATTGATTTTTTTGTTGGTTATAGAATAGGAATCAAACTAATGTTTCTGTGCCTTATGTTATTTCAGTGTGCAGTTTTCTTTAGAAAGCCACTTAATAAGAAAGAATATCAGGAAACGTACAATAGATGAGGAGGAGGACCCAAGAAGTGAAAGCTCTTTGCTACACAGTCAGAGAAGAGACCATCAAACATGATAATAAGTTGCTCTTTTGGACCGGACCCTCTAAAAGCTCAAGATCATCTGAACCCGGCGAACAGTCTGGAAAACAAGGGTTTTCAGTTTGAGTCTTCGAAAGAGATTCAAATTCAACATGATAGCAGGCAACTCTAGAAACTGAGACTGAGTTCTCTAAAGATGCCGGAGCTATTCGTGAGAGAGCCTTAAGCAAGCAGAGAAGAATTTGAAGAAAGATGGCACGAGTGCTGGGGTTGAAAAATTGTATAAGGACATCAACAGTTACCCGGATTACAAGGCCGGGTTTCGTAGGAAACAAACCGTTGCCAGTGAGAAGGCGGGTTGGCGCATGGGCCTATCAGGGCTTCAACTCATATTGGAGTGTCAGCAAGATTTGATTATCAACCTGATATATGTAGGATTACGAAGAGACTGGTTACTGTGGATACGGTGATTCATGTAAATTTATGCATGACCGGGGTGATTATAAATCTGGGTGGCAGTTTGGAAAAGGAATGAAGCAGAGAACAAGAGGATAAAATTAGCCGCTGGGGAGGGTCTAGATGAAGAGGAGACGGAGATGACAGATGAGGATGACGATGATTCGCTACCGTTTGCCTGCTTTATGTGCAGGAAGCCTTTTGTGGATCCAGTCATGACTAAGTGCAAGCATTACTTTCGCAAGCATTGTGCATTGAAGGTACTACCTTACCTTTCGCTTTCGGTGCAAGTAAATTCAATTAGGGATAATAATCTCAAATATAAGTTGATGTCAGAATTTGGAATCCTTTCCCTATTAGTTTATGTTTTTCTTTCTTTGGAAAGTTCGGTATTATATTTTATGATATCTGTAGCTTTTTACGACAAGAATTTTATAGCTAACTAGTTTATAGTGCTGAGTTCATCTTTGAGGACTTTCAGAATTTTTTTATTCGTGACGTATCAATGATGTTTTTGAATCTCTTGTGAAGGTTTTGGTCAATGATCACTCTTGTTGGTAAATGGCGAGGTTACAGTGCTCTTGATGTATTAGAAAAGCAGCAAGTGAATATCGAATGCGTGTGTGTTTCTCTGCACTGAGAGTTGCCTTTGGGAGTGTGCCTTGAAACTTGTCTGCTGTGTCTATAATAATTAATAAACATTGCTTCTGCCATCATTTTTATTGATTTTAATTCTTCATAGCGTTTTCATTCTTGTTATTTACAGCATCATGCGAGAACAAAAAGTTTTTTGGTGTGTAATCAGCCCACTCTCGGAATTTTTAACACTGCTCATGAGATACGCAAGAAGATGGCTGCAGAGGTAAATGATAATAGAGGTAATTTTTGTCCCGGTCTCTTACTCTCGGATTGCACAAAATTGCTTTCTTTTTTCCGTAATGTGTTGAGCCCAACGTCTAAGTGGGCCGTGTTTTTGAGAGAAAGAGGGCCACCAAGTTACCCAAGAAGCAAGGTACAGAAATTGGCACTGATGCTAGCCCAAGGCCCAATGAGAACAAGGGTGACAAGAGGGGTAGATGGGCCGGTCCGAGCTCCATCCTAGCCAATGCCCAACTCTATGTACATATTCTGCCATTGGGCCTCCCGAACTCTTAGGGTTGGGTTTTGGCCCCGATGCCCAAATTTTATTTTTTTAAATGTTTTAAATATAAAAAAAATTATTTAAACAAGGCAAAATATATTAAAATTATTTAAAATGGATTATATTATAAAATAATGTTAAATTTAAAGTAATAATTTTTTTTAAATTGTATATAATTAAAATTATTTATTATTTTTCCATGATATAAAAAAAAAAATATTTTAATATTTAAATGATTAGAAAAATTAAAATTATAAAAGATATTCATGATGACAATCAAAAATATTATAGTAAAAAATTAAATAAAATCACATTATAAAATCCTTCCGTTTTGATAAAAATTAAGAAAAAATAAAATAAACTAGCTCTATTTGGGTTGGGCAAAGTTGGGCTATGGTTGACCCTACGCCCGATGCCCCTGCCCAAAGCCCGACTCGGTCAGCCTAACTAGCTTAGACAGGATTGAGCTGATTGGGCTTTCGGGCCACCGGAACAGCCTTAAGTGAAATTGTTATCTAGGGTTGTGTGTCCTAAGGAAACGATTAAGCTTTTGGTTGGTCATGGGAGAGTCCTGACCTTTCAACGTCAGGGGAGTAGCTTGACACTGTTCTATTTTGCTCCTTATTATTTACTCTTTTTTTTTTGGTTGCTATTTTCTGGTTTTATTCACTGTAACAGCTTTAGTTAGTTTGCAATTTCCCTTTTTCCTCTTCCTTTCTCTGTAGAAGAGGCTGTAATAGTGATTTTTAATAGAAGATTTCATCAGTTCTATCACAATGTTGCCTTGGAAATTCGTCTATGCACAGCGCTCGTTTGTGTTTGCACTTTACATCTAAGAAGGCCCTGTTACATATGTAAGGAAGAGAGGAACCCATCTGTTGGTAGTTATACCTTTCGTAATGCATCTTTATTTTATACCTTGTGGCAGTATATTTGAAATTGAAGTGTCAATTTAGTAGTTCTCTGCAAGCTTGTTTGTTCTGAGTTTTCTTTTCTTTCTCCGTGGTTCTAGTTCTCATTTTGTTGTAAGTTAGGCTCTAGAGCCCAGTTAATCTTGTCTAATCTGATGCAATCCAACCTGATGGTACTGAAGGAAAAAAAAAAATGCCAGATGCAAGATGGGATAGACTGGGCCGGGTTGGCTACTTGTGTCAAATCCTTCATCTGGGTTTTCTGCGTTTTGTTCTTCAAGTTTTTTTTGATAAACTTTTGTTCTTCAAGTTGCTTTGGGAGCACACCTCCCCCCCCCCCCCCAACCAAAAAAAAATAAAAAAACTCCGGTGTGATGGTCTGCTGGGTTATCTCCAAGTGAGACCGCGAGAGGCCTTGGGCGCAAAATTAGAACCTGAGGTATTGTTGGGCCAAGTTTCTTGTTGATTATTGGAAGCTATCACTTTTCGTTTGCTTGAAAATGCTTTTAACTTTTTGATGTCTTGTGTATCGAGTACTGTATAGCGGAAATGGTGAATCTGGCACTGACCAAAAGACCATATTTGGACATTTTACAATTTACGAGTGTTACATCCCACATTAACATAAAAGATTTTTTTTTATATAAAACCAGTGCGAGATAGGATAGACGGAAGGTAGGAAGAGGTGAAAGGACACCGCCTCCAAAAATAAAGAAAAAAAGACATGATCTGAAACTGTATTGAATAATCAATCTAAAGTTAACTCCAACGGAACTAATGAAGAGCTTAGTATAAAAGTCCAATAGACAAAAGGAAATAAGCTCAAAATAAGAATAGGATAATCAAAGTGTTAAGCTAAAATAAAAGCACTTGAACCTTTATTTTCTTAGATTTAATAGTCTTAACACGTCTTCCCACATCAATACATGATATTCAATGATGCACAATACAGGTCCTTCAATTCTCAAATGATAATCCTAGGAATTAGCAAGAAACTACTATGGATAAACTTCAATGATTGACCTTATCCCCAGAACTGGAGTTACCTTGTAGTCGCTGAAACCAGAAGTGATAATCAAATTGGCCCATTCCTTCTCATTTCTCTCTCTCCCGGTGACCAGCGCCATCATTATCATGTCGGAGAACAGTTGTGCTTCAATTGTCTTATCGTCTTTCTTGTCATGCTCTATCATTATGTCTATGACAATCACCTTTCCTTCATTGCCATTGCTTGTAATTGCCTCCTTGCATTTCTTCAGTATTTTCACACAATCCCCATCATTCCAGTCATGCAATATACCCTGCCATCATTTCTGATTATATATATTGTAGGAAAAAATTGCTTGATCTGTATCTCAATCGGTTAGCATAAACACGCGCGCGCGCATGTCTTTGATACAGAAGGCTGAACTTCTAAGTATTTTCCGGTTTTGAGATGAAGCTGTGGTAAACCAGGTAAAAGAAGCTTCTAACAATCAAATGACAATAAATGGAACATAATGGAAGCTGTGTACCTGTGTTCACATTCAACAGGTTATATCAAATGCAATATCACTGTTCTAATTATGTGTGGCCAGTTAGAAATAGTTGTGTTTTGCAGTGCTTATATAACGTTACTCATCAAATTCTTCTTAGAATTGCACAATTTGTACTATTTACCTTCAATAAAATGGCATTGGCTGGGGGAATTTCCTTGAACATGTCTCCTGCGACATATTTTAGGTTCCCACTACCTTGCAAGCCAGCAACAACATGAGGGAGATCGAACACAGTGCATTTCAGTAGTGGGAATGTTTTGGCAATGACCTTGGCCAACGTCCCTGTGCCGCCCCCAACATCAACAAGTGACTCCAAACCTGCAAACATTCCCGTACATCTCTCAATCACCACACTAGTCACTATTTGAGCATCGCTAGCCATGGCATAATTGAACATTTGATTGAGTTCTGGATCTTGCCCTGCATATTCCCAGAGATCCTTTCCATGCACTGTGTTGAAAGGCGTGGGATCATCATTTTGGAACCAGGAAGACAAGGAAAAAAATGGTTTCATCAGAACTGGATTTAGCACAACATGCATCAAGGGCGTCACGCTCAAGGGGTTGTCGCTGAGCAGAAGCTTAGAGGCACTAGTTAGTGCATAAGCCTCTTCTGAGCTATTTTCTGGTACTTGTTGCTGAGAGAAGAGGCCATTATGGACAAAAAGGCGCATTAGGCGGGGGACAAAGGTGGCTTTGGAAGCATGGATTGGTAGAGAAATAATGAGTTCCGAAAGGGGCATGGGTCGGCCATGGTTGTGGATGATGTCTGGTATGCCTAAGTCAACTGCACATTTAACGGACACGGAGTTTATGAAGCTGAAAATGAGATTCCAAGTGCAGATTTGAGCTCCAAGGAGTATGGAAGCTTGACTTCTGTCTCTGGTTTCCATGATTTGCTCAGCCAGATGCTGTGCTTCACATTAGCATCAGATCCTTTGTACAGTTCAGTGAGATCATGTTTTTATTAATGGGCTCAACTTTGTGGACTTGCGCTAAATTCTTATCATATTCGTGTTAGAATTGATGATTGAAAAAAAAAAAAAAAAACAACCCTTAACTATTGCACGCACTATCGACGTTAGCACCGTGCGGCACTGCCGTAATAACTAGCCATCACCATCATAATAAAATAAAAAAGTTGAGACTATTTAAAATTATTTTTATTTTTATTATTTTAAAAATTAATGTTTTGTAAAACATGTTTTATAAATAAAAAATAATAAAAATAGTATTTTTTTATTTTTAAAAAAATAATTTCAAAACACCTTAACATTATTTTTATTTTTTATTTTTTAAATAATATTTTATTTTTTATTTTTTAAAATATATTTTAAAAATACATTATTAAATATATTTTTTTATTTTAAAGAATAAAAAATTATTTTCAAAACAAAAGAGGCTTTAGTCATTTAATTTTTCTCTCTCTTTTTTAATTCCCCCCCCCCTCCCTCCCTAAATGCTGTGTTTCACGTGCTGGCTGCCTACTGAAAAGCAATAACGTAACAATTAATAATGCCCATGGACAAATGGTGCAATAAAAAATGGCTGATTTTCTTTTCCCTTAAAAAAGTTGGCTGAATTTCTTAGAATATAATCCTCCATTATTGCCCAATGCGTCTCTTTCATTATTGTCAAAATAAGACACTGTGCTCAGTCCTGTTATATAGAAATTTGCATCCCTCAGTCCTTCAAAGTTTTCAACTTTTTTTTAAAAAAATTGTGTAACACATCAGCATTGTATATTTTTGTCTAAATCTTGGTTACATCACTCAGTGCCTATTATTTTAAGTTATCATAATTACGATGATGGCCTCAACCTTCGTTTAAAAAATCAATGCTGGGGGTGGCTTTGAAAGGAAAAGATACATATTAAAATACGGCTCAGTATTAAAATTGATATAAGTGATAGATGGTCTCGATATTTAAGCTAGTAATTAAATGTTCAAATATCAGCCTTGTATGTGTGGTAATTTAATTGTGAGAGGTCTACTTATTACTTTTGGTATCTTGAGAAAATATTCTTTATTAGTGCTGTAGGCGTAGTCTTTATACTTGAAGAAAATATATTTGAATATTCTTTTTTATTTAGTTTGATTTCTATTTATGTAAAAATAGAAAGAAAGGGGGAAAAAAAATTAAAAACAACAAACGCCAGAGAGATCTACGTCAATTTTATATTATATTTGCTATTGTCATCCAACTAAGATATGGATTGGAGAAAAGTTAACAACATGCATATCATAACACCATTCACGGCAATATTAACATATTAACCTTGTTTTTCTCTCTCTTTCCCCCTTTCTTTTTCTTGATGGGACATGTTTTCATGATGGATAAAAATTAAAATTAAGATCAATATATTTAATCGGATGGTGGATAGTTCTTTTCTTAAAAAATAAATAAATTACCTAATCATTCCCAAATAATTTCACATAATTTATTATACATATATTTGTCATTTTTGTCATCACTTGCAAGGAGATAAAGGCAAGAAAATGTTAATTTTATACCTAACCATTATCTTGAATGGGAAACAGATAAGACTCAATTTATGACTCATGTTATGAAATTTATTATTTAATTTCACATCATATATAAATGTCTTATTTAAGTATTTTATAACTTAATTGTTCAGCATTTCTAACACATCTTCCGATAATTTTAATATATAGTGCAACTATGCTGTTAACAGAACACATGCAATTTCATATATATCCCAACTTTCTTTTGTGAAGTTTCCTTTGTTTCAGTAGTTAAGAACACTAGAAATGGCGCATCATTTCACAAATTTAAGTAACTTATCAATGAATGAATCTACGCTCTCCGTACTCAATGTCATAACTACAGATAGGTACACGTATTCATTTATAGATAATGCTGTGATCTGTATCGTTAATTGTATGCAATGGGAGCATTTAGATTAATATCACAAATTATAATTATCGGCTACTATTGAATTGAACATTATGCTAATAGTAATTATAATAAATGGGAGATAACAAATTTAAAACACTTAACGCAAAAAATTGTACGTGCTTAATTAGATGATTTTAAAGGATCCATCGATGTATCAGAAAATAAGAGGGGAGGGAAATTGATAACATGCATTGCTATCATTATATAATATATATATATATATATATAAACAATTTTCCATTGGACACTTTTAAAAGTTCCACATTTTGTTGGAAAGAAAATTTTTCTACGGTGAATGTTTATTCTGATTCAATTGTACTCCATAAATATTCGTGGATACACCATTTTTTGAATACTATCACAATTAGGTATGTCATTACAAAAGATTGTATCATTACATTGATATATATATTTTTATACAAAAAGTAACAATTGTATAGACTGGTTTGCTTATTAAAGCGTATCAAGACAATTCAACTACTAGAATCCTTAATGATCCACCCAGTATCCATATATTAGACTTTTTGTCTACTTATTTAATATAGTATTGTTTTCTCGCGCACGCTTTCACTGTGGTCGATCTTTTGTGCGAAAAGAGAGAGAAGTCTGCACACAATAGACTTTTATCTAAAATTTAACATAACACACATTATCCACAAGTAACCAGAACCAATTAACTTTGTAAATATCCTGATAAAAAAAAAAACTAATACGAATACACGATGAGTTTGATCAACTTATTATTATTATTGCTGTTGTATGATGACAAGGTTGACAACAAACACATGCGAGTTACAACTCGGAATACCAAATTCACATGAATCATGAATATTGAAGGGCTATTATAGCATAACATTCTGGATCATGGGAACACCTCAATGAGAGATCTTAAGCCCAGAACTGGAGTAATCTTATAGTCACTGAAACCAGCAGAGAAGATCAACTTGGCCCACTCTTTCTCGTTCCTCTCTTTTCCAGTGACCAAAACCATCATCAACATGTCAAAGAACAGTTGTGTTTCTACTGATTCATCGTCGATGTCTCCCTTGGCATTCTCCATCATCATGTCTATTATGATCACTTTCCCTTCTTTCCCTTTCTTTGTAATTGCTTCCTTGCTCTTCTTCAGTATCTTCACACATTCCCCATCGTTCCAATCATGTAGAATCCACTGTTACCCATTCAAAATAAAGTAACTATTATTACCAACATGCATGGTAAAAATTGGACTGGTCATTAAATCAATCTACACACAATGTTAGAGGTTCAATTATCATTGAACCAGAGTCAATCCAGTTATGATTAAAATAGTATAATATAATTAAAATGTGCAAATATATTCATATATAATCTTGAAAAGAGTGTGATATTTTAATTAAAAAATGCACCAATCCACAAGTAAAATATAACATTCATGTATAAATCATACATAATCCAACAAATCAAAGCTATTAAAGAACAATTATGACATACTGCTATTTTTTATTTTTCTTTTAACTCAAAACGATGCCATTCTAGGTTTAATAAAGGGAAGAGAACAAACATAAAATCCAGTCCAAAACTATTGACTTTTGAGGGACCTATAGGAGATTGATTCATTGGTTCAGTGTTTATCGGCGTTATCGGCCAACCTGGGTTGAGTGTTAATATCATGGTTATTAGATACATGTTTCAAATAACAGTTACTTATGGTTAAGTTATTATTCTTCAAAAGTAAAGCATGTAGTAAATAAATGCATGTAATTACAATCATCACCTTCAATAGTATGCCATCGGAAGGAGGAATGGCCTCGAACATGTCTCCTCCGACAAAGTTGAGATTCCCACTATCTTGCAGACCAGCAACAACGTGTGGAAGATCGAACACAGTACATTGTATTTCCGGAAAAGCTTTAGCAATGGCCTTAGCCACAGTCCCAGTACCACCCCCAACGTCAACCAGTGACTCTAATCCCTTAAACACACCCTTGCACTTATCAATCACCACACTGGTCACCAACCTCGCATCACTAGCCATAGCATCATTGAAGAAATGATTCAGCTTTGGCTCAACCCCAGCATACTCCCAAAACGTCTTCCCATGTGCCGTATCAAACGGCGTCGGATCGTCGTTCTGGAACCAGTTTGCCACCTCATACCAAGGCTTCGTAAGGATGGGATCCAGCATGGCAAGCAAGAAAGGGGTCACACTTAAGGGATTGTCCTTCAAAAGAAGGGTCGATGCATCTGTAAGGACATAGCCTTCTTCTTCTACTTCATCGGGAAGTTTCTGGAGAGAGAAGAATCCAGAATGGGAGAGGATTCGCATTAAACGATAGATATTTCGAGTTTTAGAAGGGTGGATTTGAAGAGATGAGATGAGAAGGGGAAGAGGCATGGGTTTTCCATGCTTGTGAATGATATCAGGAATGTTCAAATCTATTGCACATTTGAGGGACATTGAGTTTATGAAGCTGAAGATGTGGTTCCATATGTGGGTTTGAGCATGAAAGAGTCTCGAAGCTGAATAATGCTCTTCGTTCTGGGATTCCATGGCTTTCTGGTTTTCTGATCAGAGAAGTTGAGATATATAGATATTGAAGTAGCTGGCTAGATAGATTGTGGCGGCGATGGTCTGCATTGAGGTTGCCATTATATATTTGGATCAACTGTAGGAGAGCAAGTGGGCATTCATCAAGTTACTGAAATTATTGAGAAAAAATATATAAAATATATCAGCCCTAATTGATAGTTTGATTATTGATAAATACAAAAACTATGACGTAATGAATGATGTGAAGCAATATTGCTTTACTGCATTTTTTGAGGATTCTTGATGCTGTTGTTCAAATTAAACTAGCAACCCACAAGCAGGATATATCAAATTTCATGACCGACAACATGAAATGAAATTTACGTTACCACATTTATTACTCTATCATTAATTCATTATCATGATTAAATATTGACTCAATCTCTCCTCAGGATCAAACGCTAATGGCGAAAAGATTCTCTCATTAAAAAACCATTTTAAACAACTCACGTTTTTTTTTTAAATCCATACAAATAACTTCAACAACCCACTTTT